GGCGGGGGGGGGCGCAGGAAGTGAAGGCCGCCGGGGGTGGGGATCGGGGAAGCCGCCGACAGAAGGAGGAGGAGACAAACTTGAGAAAGAAAGGGCTAAGGGGCAGGGGTGTTTCACTCAGAGAGCCAAGGCAGAAGATACTCAGGTTGAAGGCCAAAATGAAAAACAAAAGGTGTTGACAGGTAAAAGTAAGTCACAAATGCAGTGTGTCCACAGCTCATTAGCTCCCAAGACCTGCTGGGCATGATGGGTAATTCATGGCGAGGGAGGCATGGTACCAGAAATAGATCCTGCCTCCTGCCCTTGTAACACAATATAGATTTTGTGGGATCTGAGGGCACAATATAGATTTTCCTGACCACACTGTTTTCTAAATTTTCAGTGGAACATGGCCAACCAGGAGGCAGTGCTGGACACAACAACAGGTTGTTGATATTAATATGAACTCTCAATATGGTTCTGTCCTGGCTAGATTTCAGTATCAACTTGATACAACCAAAAGTCGCCTGTGGGGAGAGTCTCAGTTGACAGGTTACCCATATCAGATCAGCTCATGATCATACCTATGGGTGCCCTGGCTCATGCCTGCGACTGTAGCACCCAGAAGGCTGACACAGGTAGATTTGCCATGAGTTTAAGGCCACACAATGGCTACATAATGAATTCCAGGGCAGCCTTGGATATCAAGTGAAATCCTGTCTCAAAAAACAAAAGAAGATAAAGTATACAACAGAAAGAATAATAGATCTCTCCTACCTCTTTCTTAAAGGCAATGCCTTAGCTATTTTACTGTGCAAGTACTCTTAATTCTCTCACCCCCTAGTCACTTCTCTTTGAGCAAAGGGTTCCACTGTGCATTCAGATGTGAAAACCAACAGTATCATTTTCACTTGTCTCCTTGGCTCCTGCCTCTCTCTATCTCTTACCAGTTTCACCTTCCTCTCCTTTATCCAAATTCTCTGATCATTCACTAGCAATATTTCTTTAAAATATGATTTCACAGAGAGACAGAGAGAGAGAGAGAGAGAGAGAGAGAGAGAGAGAGAGAGAGAGAACCATGGTGCCCATGTGGAGATGAGAGGGCTACTTGGAGTCTGTTGTTTCCTCTACCCTGGGTTTTGGAGATCATACTCAGCCTTGGCCACTGAAACCATCTCGCTGTCAATACTTGTGTTACATGCAGTTGGTTGGTTGGTTTGTTGAAATGACTCACCTCGATTTGATTTTAGGGCATTTGCATACAATACTGGTCTCTTCCCCGGATGTTTCCTTCCCCAGGTTGCTCAATAGCCTTTAATTTTCAGGTCTAGCTCCGTGTTACTTCACTCTCTTTAACATCACCCAGTGTCGTTTCCTCTATAAATGAGGATGCTCACTAAGGTAGTTGTATTTTTGGCATTATAACAGACTGTGGCTAGAAGAGTAATTTATTGCACTGTGAATCCTAGTTTCTGAAAAAAGATCCCATGTCATTTAGTGGTCCTCCAGAATTTATTGAAAGGTGAATCCTAGTTTCTGAAAAAAGATCCCATGTCATTTAGTGGTCCTCCATGGGAATCCTGAAAAGTATCCAAATGATTTTTCCAAACTGGCTCATGTCCAGTGTCGATAGCAATTCAACAGCTTCCCCAGTAGGCCAAGACAGTGCCAGAGACCACTTGTTTCCAATTCTTATTTCTCTGGCTAATAAATAAATTACTTTGGACTTATTCTTGATTTGGTACATAAAGGATGGTTCAGTGTGGCCTCGCGGCACCCTATTCTTTGGGACAAGGATCATAATTGTGACTTCTGCCTCTCTTTGCCCTCAGCTGTTGTCTCCCTCTAACTATGGCTTCTTGGCACCACTGCTCCTCCTTCAGTTGTTCTTTCCACTTCTCTAACTGCCCCTTTATAGACGCTAGCTTGCGATACTCCTGGACTTGCTTCACTAATTCCTCCTGTATCCCCTGATTCTCTTTTTGGACACTATCGCAATACTCGGAATTCACCTTCCTGGCTGTGGACTTCAAGACCTGGACCTTTTTCTTAACCTCCTTGGTGCTGTGCCGTCCCACCTGAAGCCATTTCAGTTCCTGCAGCTGTCTGTCCAGGAGCGCCTTTTGCTGCAGGAACTGCAAGTGTTCCTGGAGGTCCTTTATAGCCGTCTCCACTTTCATGTTCTCCAGCTCCTTCTGTAACGCCTGGATTTTCATCTCCTGAGCCTTCTTTACTGAGTTAATATGCTTCAATGACTGAGCCTGTTGCCTCAGGTGGGACTGGGTCTTTCTTCCCTGCAAGAGTTGTGTTTGAAGGTCTTTGTTTTGTTTGGCAAAGTTGGATTCCAGCTCTTGTTTCCTTCGTCGCATCTCTGCACATTCCTGGAAATACTGATGCCACAGGTCCTCATGTTTCTTTCTACACTCATCATTTTGTTTTCTTAGGAATCTCAAAAAATAGTTGCTCTCAGTCTCTAGGTAGAGCCTGTCCTCTTCTAGCAGCTTGTTCTCCTCCACCAGCTGCTCCCGCTGGAGCTGAACCTCCTCTATATTGTTGCTCAGCAACTCCAGCGCCTCCATCGTCCTTCTTTTTACCTTGTTCTCCAGTTTTGTTAGACTCTCTGACTTGAAAAATTCATTGAGAATAGTAAAATACATTGATGTGTGGGGAGAGCCTTTGGAGCTCTGGGCAAAGCTGGATGAAGAACAAAGGAAGCATTCCTGTATCAGTTCTTAGGCACAGTTGAGAAAACAATAACTGAAAACTAGCCCAGACCTTTGTGTGATTGTATTCTTCTACCAGCCCTGGCCCTCAGACACGGTTTCTCCATATAACAGTCCTGGCTGTCCTAGATCTCTTTACAGACCAGGCTGGCCTTGAACTCCCAGAAATTCACCTGCATCTGCCTCCCAAGTACTGGGATTAAAGGCATGCGCCACCACCTGCCCCTATTTTATTGTATTCTTACAAAAAAAAATCTTTTGGGTTTCTATCATGCTCCAGATAAGACCAGTACTGGTTAGACTTGTATCAATTTGACACACGCAGGAGCGATTTGGGAGAAGCTACACTGAGAAACGACTGCACCAGATTGTCTGTAGAAACCTATAGGAATTTTATTTAAATTAATGACTGATGTAGGTGGACCCAGTTCACAGGGATAGGATGGCACCCCTAGGCAGGTGGTCCTGAATTGACTGAAAGGGCAGGCCACGCAGTGTACCTCCATGGCTTCTGCTTCAGTTCCTGCCCTGACTTCTTTTTAACTGTGATACAGAAGTGTAAGAAGAAATTAACCCTTCCCTCCCCAGTGTCACTTTTGGTTATGGTGGGGGGTTTTTTGTTTTGATTTTTTTGTTTTTTGTTTTTTCGAGACAGGGTTTCTCTGTGTAGCTTTGGAGCCTATCCTGGCACTTGCCCTGGAGATCAGGCTGGCCTCGAATTCACAGAGATCCGCTTGCCTCTGCCTCCCAAGTGCTGGGATTAAAGGCGTGCGCCACCAACGCCCGGCGTTTTATCAGAGCAATAGAAACCCTAACTATGACAGGGTCTCTCACCAAACCTGTTTCTCATGCTATGCTAGCCGGCTGGTCAATAAACATCTGGGATCTGCCTGTTTCCATGCTCCCATCCCACTTTAGGAGTTACAGGCATGTTCTGTTTGCTCAGCTTTCTAAGTGGGTTTTGGTGATCTGAATTCAGGTCCTCTTGCCATGTGGCAGGCACCCGAGCCACTGGGCCATCTTCCAGGTCCTTCCTCTTCCATCACCATTGCCAAGCCTAGAAAACCTTCCGTTCACATCAGTCTCCCTCCTCAGTACCTACCTAGTTCCGGTACTCAGGCATTTATTCAGGTCAGTCTGCTCGCTGGGGTTTTTCGCCAAAGAACTAATTAGGAGTGTCTGCCTTTGGGGAGCACAATTTTCAAGAGGCGTCTTTACTTTGGGGTCAACATCACATGATTTCTTAGTCTCTACTACCAAATTAGTACTAGCAGATTGCTTGGATTGGTTCCAAGATCTTCTGGGGCTTTTGTCTTTTGAAATTTGGCTGTCCTGTTCTGGGGATACCATCTCCTCTCTCACTCCTGACTAGGGCCTTGCCCCTCCCAAGTCCTATTTTAACAACTACCAGCCCTTGCTGAAGCGCCCTACACACCTCAATTGTCCAACCCTCCCATTTCTCAGGCACAATCACCAGTTAGACACCCCTCTGGCCTATCATTGTACCCTAGTCCTCAGATTGGGTCAAACGCTCCCCACACAATGGTCTCATGGAATGTCACAGAAGTCTCTCTAGTGATTTGGGTCTCTATGGTGAGGAGCTAGACTGCAACTCCCACTGAGTCTGAGACCTCATGGGACATCAGCCCACTGCATGTCTGGTGGTGGTGGGTATAGGGAGCCGTCCCTGCATTCTCCATTACAATGATGGTGCCTGCAGGCACTGAATGTAAATTATTGCGCAGGCGCTGGGTAATTTTCCATTTCCTTGATCTCTGCCTATTCTGTGGCTCATATGGCCTGAGGAGCTGAAGCCAATCA